AACTATAAGCTATAGCGTTTGGTTAGAAGACAAACCCTTCCCTATGATTAAAAAAACCTGCCGCAATCGCAACTATAAGCTATAGCGTTTGGTTAGTAGAAGCAGATGTACATAGCCACCATGCTTGTGGTTGCACTGCCTTGCCATTGAGAATGTTCACATGGAAATCCGCAGCATTACACAAATCTCATACGTCATTGCAGATGTAAACCGGTGGAAAACATCATGTGCTATACCTGATCATCACGAATTCCTTCAGAATCGTTTTAATCTCCTCTGCCCTCGACTGTCCGTCGAAGTTCCACCCGAAGGGACCCTGTAAATGGATCAAACAGCAGTATCAGACACTTGGTAGGCGCACTGACAGAGACAATACAGCTCATGTTTGGGATAGTACACATGATTATCAACAGACACAAGGTATGAACCATCGTGCGAGCACAGATTGCCGAGCCATGACAACGAATGTCGATAACAAAGCGCACTACTAAATTTTCTCATACCTTGTACGCTCCACAATAACGTATTCCATACTCGTTCAAACCATTTCGGAACATCTCTGGGCGTACTGCCTGGTGGTGAGGATTAAGTTTAAGGGGCTTGTTAATACGCATTGACGATATTCCATGTTGTATGCGAACCTCTGCGTGGAGGTCATAATCCTTTGATTCGTTCCAAAATTACAACGCGACGCCATAGTATCATGTACTTGGATTCAAGGGCTTGAAAGTAGTATCATACTGATGTGGTATGCCAGCAACAGGTATACGAAATTGCACTGGTATAACCTCCGAACGTTCATGTCACATATTGTATGTATTACAATTTCAACCCAACTATAGCGAAGTAATCTCACCTGCATAGCCGTGAATAGCTCGACTGGCCTGGATGTTGCGGGTGTACCTGACAACAGGAGCACTCGCTTCGCAACCTACCACTCCAAGCGGTCAAAATATGTGATTAGTGGACGACCTTTAAAGTGAATCGTTATGTATAGCGATAGCTCTCGCGTTGACATTTGTTGTGCAACGAAGCCGTTGTTGTATAGCATGTCTGCATTTTGTCTTAATTGTTTCTCCATCGCCTAGCGACCGATGAGCCGCCATAGATGTGGCTCACGATCTCACGAGTCGTGCTCGATGCTGTCGGTATTGAAACAATCCGCTACTGATCGCGACAACCTGATATAAAGCACAGAGTTGCATAGAAGCAAACCCTGGAGACTACCAAATCTCGAGAATACGAAGCTGGTACAAGGTCGAACCTATGCTCAAGTTACACCTGTGAACACACTTCATAAGATTGCAGAAAAACGACGCGTCAAGATATAACCAAATACTACCTTGCATAGCGGTAGTAGCTCCATGGTCCGCTTTGCTGTAGGATTCTTGATTTTCTGACACTCATCCTATGATAGAACACGCGAATGGTGACCCAACAAAAGATAGAATGTTTGAGTTTGTATGGCATGTCATGGCTTGCCATCAAAAGAGCCACATATCCGTCGCTATCATACAAACCACTCAGTCATTGTAGTTGCATAGGTGGGCTTTTTGAAGACTTGTCCAAGTTAAAAGTTGTGAAAAGCTCTGAATTTTTTCCCCAGTATTTAAGGTTCCAGCTATGATAAAATGAACACTTGTGGCATCATTTGACATCATCAAACCTTCAATGCAATATTGGCCCTGTAACCAGAGAAACCATACGGAGATTTCAGTATACACATACCAAGATCAGAACTTTGAATTGTCTTCGCTTCAATTCCACAGCAAACTTAGATATGAGATCATATGTGATGATATTAACCTACAGGGCACGCAAGGAAGTATTCGGTTTCAAAAATGAGAGAATGTGGCGTCAATTTCACAGAAAGTACGAACATCCTGCACCCTGAATAAGTGCACGTAAGAATATAATGCCTACCTATTCTATGAGACTATACTGCTTACCCCTGCGTTGCCAAGCTCAGACTTTCCATTGTCGATTACATTGATTTCGGACTTGCGTAATACTGGGACCCACTTCAAAAATGCCTGCGCATGATCGAATAGCGTATGAGAACAAAGCTGATTGAAAGGGCAAGGTGCTTTATATTCCACACTCAGCATGTACTCAGTACCAAATAAGAATTAAAGTGAAGTTCATGGTGAATCACACAATGTGGTCGAAGGTGCGTCGTGGTGGTGTAAAGCACGCACGCAGAAATAGCCAGCTTCCACGTATGAATTCTAGTACCTCTCTCCACTGATATCTCAGCGACGAAGGCACAACTACCAGCGCGGGCCATTCGATACCGTAGTAGCACGCTATACACACGGCTTGTACCGTCTTTCCCAAGCCCATTTCATCAGCTGTGGATCCAGAACGAAGCAGAACATCGTAAGAACCAACACAGCAACGTTTGGGTACCTCTGCGATAACAGATGCTAGTGGCGTATATGCGAGATCCATACGTCCATACACGGCAAGGTAATTCCACATTGCGCGGATTCAGACTTTCACAGGCAGATATAAGCTATACATGTATACGACTGCTTCCTGATATCTTCTGTGTTTGTTGTATGGTGGCTTACACACGCACAAAATTACAGATGCAAACAACACTGGAACCCCACACTCACGAATTCGCGCATACCAATCAGAGCTCTGCCGTTCCGTCGAATGGCCCATTGAATACCTTCTCGCTGTTGGAGTAAAAACATAAATGATTATCGTTACGATGGGAGTTTAAAAAGAGAGCGTCAAAAAAACAAACTATTACCGTCGACGTAACGACGGTTGAAAAAAAAATGTTAGGCTGCGATTCAATTGTGAAGACACCTCGCTGTACACACCCCCACCAATGGGACATGCATCCAAAGAAGTGGGCAAAGCACAACCCCACTATTTTCGCTCCTGCAGGCATATAAAACGCTTTGCGCACAGGCGGTTGTGTCGCTAGAAGAACATACCTGGAACGGTAACAGCTTATCCAGAGTCTCGGGAGGTAATAGTGTATCGTCCATGCTGTGCGTCGATGTGTCTTCTGGCTGTGCTAATTGGGTCAGCACCGCTTTGTTGTGAAGAAAACGGGGCAGGCCATAGATGGTGAAGGTATGTGCTTGGCTCAGTTTGCAATCTGTGTATATAGTGTGTGCGTCATTAACAACAATTGAGATTCAGTTCTACATACAGGTGGAATGGGCAGCAAAGACTCTTTCACAATTTCCACACACACATATATATATATACCCACATATGCAACGTAGGAAGTCGTTGGATGCTTCATTGTGTGTTTAGAACACTCAGCCAAGTAGTTTGCCTTGCAAGCGCTATACAAGGCTCCCAAATCTTTTTAAACGAGTGAAAGGTGGGAAGCTGGTCAATGACACTTATCTGAATTTCTCACATATAGGCACACATGTAGTCCGCAAAACACATAGAAAAATAGGCACTCACTGTGCAAAATAAGAAACAAGCCCCTACTTATACACATGGTATATCACTAAGGGAAGAAATAAGGCTTTGATCGTTCACATACATGCACTCAGGTAGTTGGCCACCGGGACCTTCCAGTACAGCTTCTTGGGTTCGTAGACGCCCTTTTCCTCCCGCATGATCTGCTTAAACTTGGCATGCAGTGTACTCTGGGGTTTAAACGTCACAGTGCCCCTGTCAACCAGCTCGCACTCCACCTTCACCTTCACCGGGTGCATTATCTGTGGCATTTCCGGTTTGTTCTTGCAGAAGCTATTCAATGTCCCGTCTCGCACCAAATTGGACGGGGTGTGAGTGTCTCGATTTGTGGGTAGTCCTGTGCCCACGCTGGTACCACTGGAGATATGTGTATTGGGCATATGCAAGTGTGTGGGGGGTGCTTGTGCAGTGGTCGTGTGCGGCATGTTTGTATATCCCCCCCCATCGCCACTGCCGGTGAGATTGACCACGTCTCCATCTCGAGCTCGTGTGCCATTTGTATTTGGTGCACTCTGAGGCCTATGTGTCTCTGGTACACGTTGGGTCTGTCTATCGCTATACTGCTGCCTCTGGTAGTTGGTACTGCCTATGTTGTCCTGTCTCTGAAGTGTCTGTCCATCTCGCGGGTGTTGTTGTGGTTGTTGGTATTGGGACTGGTGCAGTGATTGTTGTTCGTGTTGTTGTACTTGGTGTTGTGGATGATCAGGACGTCTACTATCCTGTGGTGTCGGCCTCACAATACTACTGGATGTATACGATTGACCCGCCGCACTATTTTGACCTGGCATATACGCCTGCCCACCAGTCAAAGCATTCTTACTACTACCACTAGACACAGGCAACGTACGCGACACACTCCCATTTCCGTTCGGCTGATTCATCGAACTGGTTGGCTTGGTTACATGTGTCTTCTGGTATTGTCGCTGTTTCAACTTGGCCATTGCGAGTCGTTTTTTGCGCGCAATCTCTTTGGCGACGGAAGGATTAACAGTGTGGCCATCCATAGTGCAATACACACGATGATAAAATACCTAAAATCTACTGTCAATTCCCACGTGTCACATGTACGAGTACATATCCATCTCTTCAGGCTTCCTTACATAACGTAAGTAGCGAAGTACAGTAGACCCTGCCACCTTTTCTCTTAAGAATCAGTTCCGACAGCGTGTAGTATATCATATAATAATCGACGCATATAGTCTATTCAAGACATAGCATAGATGTGCATAGTCTATCTGAAGTTGAGATTATGACATACAAGAGAAAAGCGCTACCGAAGGAGTAACTCTGAACTGCAGCAGTAGCCTTTCCGCAATGGACCGGTAATAAGGCGGTAAATGTTGTGTAGTGATACTGCTTTCTTGTTGGGATGATCTAAATAGAACCACACGTCCAAACCGATATTCAACCAGTAATTGAAGAAGCGGTGGTTAAGCTCATAGACACCTCAACACTCTGACTTGGAACAACAAACTACTAAATACGTACTTTGAATGAATAGCCACTTATTTAACTCAAGGTATAAAAGTACCCAAAATAGCCCTCACGGGTCACGACACAGATATAATCGGCCTCGCCTGCTCCTTCGTATGAGGAATATAAAAATATTTTGTAAACATTTTTTTGAATGAGTCATATTTCTTTGGCGCCATTCTCTCAACAGATGTAGGGTTTTTAAGATTTATTTTGAATTTGTCTTTAACATTAGCAGATGTAGGGATTTCAGGTTTATTTTGAGTTTGACTTTTAACATTAGCAGATGTAGGGTTTTCAGGTTTATTTTGAGTTTAACTTTAGAATTAGCAGATGTAGGGTTTTCAGGTTTATTTTGAGTTTAACTTTAGAATTAGCAGATGTAGGGTTTTCAGGTTTATTTTGAGTTTGATTTTAATATTAGCAGATGTAGGGTTTTCAGGTATATTTTGAGTTTAACTTTAGAATTGGCAGATGTAGGGTTTTCAGGGTTATTTTGAGTTTGACTTTAACATTAGCAGATGTAGGGTTTTCAGGTTTATTTTGAGTTTGACTTTAGATTAGCAGATGTAGGGTTTCAGCCTTTCAGGGGTTACTTTGAGGGGTTGTGTTCTTTTTTTAGGAGGCGATATTTGTTCAGGGTCTCCTCACATGAACATTTTCAGGAGATTTTGACGTTATGAGATGCTTTGGGTATTGTAGCTCGAATGTATTTGTGAGGTGCACAGGGCGATGTCTTAATTACTTCATGGAGAACGTATCGATCCGTTCATAACTTAGCCATCTCGTCGGCCAATTCACTGTCATCCAAGTACACTGTATCGACCTTCGTGAGCTTAGCCGTATGACTATCCGTCCCTCCCCCCACTTTGCTCTCTTCTTCAATACTCGCACTATTTTTCAGCTTATTTGCTTGTTTGCTGGCCTTTTTAACAAGTTTAGCCTCCTTTTTAGCCTCTTTTTTTGGCTGATTTGTGTTGTTCCCATAGAGGTTCCAGGATCTCGACAATGTTTGGAGGTACCTTTGTGGGCAAAACTCCATCGTAGCAATCCTCTAGCTGATCTTGCGTAATATACTGTGAAAGAGTGAGGTACACAGTCAGATTTAGATTTGTGAGTATTTCCGATGAAGCCCGGGCAAAGCTACGACCCGTCTCCCAATGCCGTGGTGTCTACATGCACGCACATAAGTACAAGCAACTGACATCAAATTCAAGTACACAGCTAACTGATTGATACCGTACTGACAACACTCGAAGCATCAATAATACATACTTGGGTAAGGTACTCATGCGCAGCTTTCTTGTCCATTTTCCCCTTGACCTGGAACTTCTTCCGCGTTGTCTTGTCTATAAATACGGAAAGGGCCTTGTAGAAGCCTACAAAGATAGCGGGTGCATTGATGGCCACCATGCTGTGCAAGCGCTCAGGGTAGTGGTCCTGTAGTATCTCGACGAACTTGCGCGAAACCTGACTGTCCCCTAAATCAAGTTTAAATGTGAATAAGATTCACGTAAGTCACGCGACAAATAAATAAGCGATAGAAGAATCACAGACATAGATAGAATATTGGAAGTCCTAAAATTTCCGTACATTTGAATTGTCCAAAAAAATGTTTGGTGCCAGACGAGCTATTAGCCTTGGTATGCTAATACCTTGTGTATTTCAATACACAAACACGCCCCAATCACCACTGACACACACGCACGTATATACGTGTAATGTAGACCCAGGCCTCGTCTTCGAATGCATGTATTCATACATGCAAACGCAATTCTTCATACCATGTTTTGCCAGGCTGAAGCCGTGCAAATCCGTCACAATCATCCACTTCTCAATGCTACTATCTGTAGGTAGAGAGAGCGTGCAGGTCAAGATGCTGGTGTACGAGTATCCGCTTTGCCACTAATTTGAAGTGTTTAAAATCGCATGCAGTAAGCGTATACAGTACAAAAGATAAGTCAGTTACCGTATCCATACCCAGATATTAAGTAGAAAGGGTAAAGGTTCATGGCCTAGCGGGTCACGAGATCAATTTAGAGTCCTTATGCCGTCCCTTAATTTTGATATGATATCACGAAAGCCTTTGGCAACTCGTCACAGAACTAGTACAGTCCTACCTACTGGCATATGCCGTATGGTTTCTTCCAGCATGTACATAATAAACTTGATTTTTTCCTCGGCAGTCCCGGGGGGGGTCGAAGGCAGTGCGCATGTACACCACGGGATGCCCTACCTTATCGGTACCATGCACATACATGGAGCCTGTCCAAGACTATTTAATGATA